CCTAGCCATCTCGGACAAGGGCGAATAATCTCGGAGGGCCCGTGTGCAAGTTGCGCACATTAAAGATCCCTTGGTGACCTAAAATCGATAAGAGTAGGCTTCGGCCGCCATCCGGGCAAAATTCAAAATTTCCTACCAACTGAAAAAGTTTAATGTGTCCCGCGCGCTCATATGACCTTATGCAGTTGCGAGCGCCGAAAAACACTTGCAAAAACAAACAAACACAGAAGACGTGAGTGGGGAGATTTTGTTCTGATTGAGTATCCATCAGTGTGCTGGTACTTCTTCTCCTTCCAAACTTTGTTGGCCCTAACAGCCAGGTGGTTGCAGCCCACCTCCTAAATGGTCTAAATAGTGTCAATGAGTCGGGTTTTTTTCCTAAGAAAATCAGTTTGTGTCCCATGTTTTAGTTTTTTACTCGTAACGTTTTCAGACACAAAGGCATCAATATCCATCCCTCCCTCCCATTTAATCAAAAAGCGATGACAGCAGACAAACAAGCCGATAAAGCAAAACAAAAACAGAAACAACATCAACATAAAGGATAGGTATAAAAACACAAAAGGCCTCCAAAAAGACAACCAGAGGGCTGATTTTCTTTTCAACAGACTTCCTTCGTATTGTCTAACTTTTTACTCTCTATTTGGCAGGCTCGATATCCCCGACATTTTTGAACAAGCACAAGAGAAACCAGTAATCAACCATGGCCGACACCAGTCTGAAACTCGTGTACTTTGACGGCAAAGGACGCGCAGAGATGATCCGTCTGGTGCTGGCAGCCGCGGGAAAAGAGTACGAGGACGTGCGTGTGACGTCAGAACAGTGGAAGGACAAGAAACCAAGTGAGTACATGGCTCTCCTGGAGTTTTTTTCCTTGTCATTACTATTAATACTTTTTTTTGGGGGGGGGGGGTCAGAGAGAACTTTTCTCAAGACTGATGTTACTCGTGGTTGCTGTCCCTATACCCTACTTGGTAAATCTAAAAGGACGTCCGTGTGACATCAGATCAGTGGAAGGACAAGAAACCAAGTGAGGACATGGCTCTACTCTTGTTTCTACTCTTGTCAATACTATAGATTAGCTTTGTGAATGGTTGGCGGGTGCTCTAGTGTGGTTTGCTCCTTCTTTCCGATAAAATATCTACCGTCCTGATCTCTCCACCCTTATTGTGTTTGTTACTCTATTGTGACACCTCGAATATCTTTCACACTGATATGACCTTAATTTGCTGCAAGGTCTTATATAGATTTAACCTTAATGCGTCCTACAGCGCAGCTTCAGCACCCAAGCCTAATAGAACCAGCAGTTTCTTTGTCACGGCCTTGGTCCACGTTAGGTCAGTACAAGTAAAGTTGTTCCCCCATCCGATCCGGACATTGGGGATTGCCTTGTTAGTGAGACAACTTCCTGGGCCTTCGGCTTATTGTGGTAGGGTGGCCAGTTCCTTTACTTCCCCAACCCGAAGTCAGGTACCCATTACTGCTGGGTGGGCAGGAAGGGGCGAAAAAAATCCGTGTCCGAACCGAGGCTCGAACCTGGACTTTCCTCTTCGGAGACGAGCGCACTAACCGCTCCGCCACCGCACCCTCGTTAGGTCAGTACCCTAGTGATATTCAGTCTTTAGGAACTGAGCACCGGGACTTAAGGGACAAACTGATGACATTTCGTTCTCCACGACGGAAGAAGCGCCTGATTGGATGGAACTATAGTGGTAGTAAATAGTTGTAGACACACAAACCAATTAGATCATTTTTCGAGTTATTGTGCCTGAGGAGTTTCGTCTGGGTTTTCTGTGGGGTTTCGCTTTTTATCGGAACACATTATTTATGTTTTGTCCCTTTTTCAATTTTGGTGAAAATTTTGGTTTTTATTTTAGTCAAAGAGGTAACTTTTCGTGAAGAAACCTCATTGAGGCTGAAGCTGCAAGCCCCAGCACACAAAACGCCACTGTGCCTGGTAGGTACTTCTTCTTTTTCTTTTTGCCATTGTTGTTACGTCAGTCTCTCTTTCTTTTCCCCTGCACTTAAAGACCATTATTTTGTAGACGTGCATCTGTTTACTCAGACCAACCAACCAACCAACCAACAATCAAACAAACGACTAAAAAAGAACGTTTTTACTCCATTTTCTATACTGTGTCAAACCAGGAGTAAAACCAGGGGCATGCAGCATCAATTTGGAGCCATACACACTTTCGACAGAATTTTTCTGTCCTGGTTTGAGCTACATATTTTTGGAAAATATAGGTGTTTTGTACTGTCGACAATAACATTAAAACAATGAAATCAAAGTCGTGTTATAAACTTCTACTTTTTCGTTTGGTCTTTTTATCATTTAGGTGCGCCATTTGGAGCACTTCCATGCTTGGAGATGGACGGGAAAATGTACGGCCAGTCCATGGCCATTGCAACTTTCCTGGCAAAGGAATTTGGTAATTGAATTATGTATTGATATTGCGAGTATTACAGGTGTGTGTGAGTGTGTGTATGTGTGTGTGTGTGTGTGTGTGTGTGTGT